AAGGGTATTGCAGAAGTCTGCAACAAGCTCCACCGACAATTGTTGACAGTTGCATCAATGAAAAAAACTTATTGGTAAAATTCTAAAACGAAAATGTATTATGTATTGAGTCAAAACTGAATATTAAATCAAGCGATAGCGATTGAATAAAAATAAGAGTTAGGACGCATTTTTTCGAATTTTAAACTGATATCCCAAGATTACTATTCCTCATTTTAATGTATAACATATCAATATGATTTGTAATAAGTAAAAAAAACAATCTGATTTATTCTGATTAAGTGATATTGCTATACTGTCCTCTCTAGGAAAAAAAACTAAAGAACATACTCCACCCTAGTTCCTTCTATATCAGTGAGTCTTCCAATATATGACAAGCATATCGCATAGATCAGTTTTAATACATTTTATTTGGTTTATAACAAAACTGTTCACGACGAATTTGAGAAGATACTCGAATTTGATATTTTAATTTTACCAGGCTACACATCGAAAGCTAATCTTGTGTTATCCCCTAAACTTGATAGATTATTGAGTTTGACGCTAGGAGCAGTTTGCTTAGCAGCGATCAAGAGTCTAATGACTGCCTCTGTGAAGTGAGAGAAGCTAGTCCTGCTCAGAATTTAATAAGTGTAATTGGGGCTAGGTTCGTGTGGCTTAGATGGCATTATGTCCACCTCTTGATACTAAATCATTGGCTTAATTCACCCTAGTGCTGCTGCTAAATGGATGAGATGAGGTTTAAACTGCAGTCCAGCCTCGAGAAATTGAATGCAAAATCTAAGTCTTCTGTTCAATCCATCATGGACACATCGGCTTATGGTAGTTGAGATATAAGCGGTTAAAAATTATATGTACAAAGGTTTTAAATCCCTTTAAATCGGCAGGTTTAATAGGAAGAGCCAGCCTCAGCACCAAACTATAAAAATGAATAGCAAATTAGTAGGACAGAAGATGGATCGTAGGATATGTACTTACAAATCTTTTTGTAGAGGATAATACGCGTAGCAAGGTCAATATAATTATATAAAAAGAGAATATTGTTGCAAGAATAAGTATGATGATCAGCAAAAATTCACAAGGAAAAGGGGACCAGCAAGTCTGGAATTAAGTCTATACTTCATTTTGTTTTGCCTTTAAGTTTTCTAGCAGCATTACGCCTTTTGAATGTATGGAAAACTGTAAGCAAAACTTTAAGACTAGTTTATGATAAAATAAGCTGGAGATAGAGAGCTCTTCGAACAGGCATCCGGTCTTCGCCCACGTTTAAAACAAGCATGGGTTGTGAAATTTTGAAGATATGGAAAAAGGTAGTAAGGTTAATTTGAGTAAGAGGTATGCTCCAACCTGGGAGAACGGTGCAATCCGATTGCGTCTCGAGAGCATAGCAGGACCAAACTCGTGAAAGAACTGTTTCATCCGGACCTCTAAATTCTTCTTCCATAAAGCGGTCTTCGGGTGTCTCATCAAGGACGAAATTATCGCTCAGATGATTACTAGAGCTTTGGGAGAATGTCTTACCATCCTTACTTTTACTATTAGAGCAACTCGAAGCCACTTTGGATGAGCTTTGTGCATAAATAAGTGGCCCTGAGAGGCGGACAAGACAGGCAGCCAGGTTGGTAAGCAGGCCATCAGTGGAAAGTAGTGATTCGCGCTGTCGTTCAGCATAGGCATCCAGGCCTCCGCCACCAGCCAAAAGCGTAGTGCCCAATTGACCTCGTTCTAGAATTGTAAAGGATTGGAATGGGATAATGTAAGTGTAAGGACAAGAGAAATAAGCTGAAAATTTTCGGTTATTTAAATGGCATAGTTAGACATTTATTGGCGGTCGAAAAGAACAAATGTCGACTCAGAAGAGCCCATACTACAATGAAGACAGTAGGCCTATCAATAAACTTTTTAAGCAAATATTAGAGTAAACAATATACAACTAATGTTGCTTCAGAGAGACCTTGCGGAACGCAAGGTGTCATAGTGTTCGTGATTTCCAACATCAGACCATTGACTTGGTACATTACCAAACGTCAAGCCGGCATCGTCATTGAGAGGTGGCATCATCGGCATAGAGCGGCAACGTGTCAAAGTAACAAGTCAGGTCAATTCACTTTAACAATTTTCTGTTCAACCCTTCTGGCATCACTCACCGCTCCTATTTTTAGTTCTCCCTTCTAGCGCTGTATCTATATCTCTCAACCAATACCATTACAAGTGGGTTTGGTGAAGCATAATCATCTTGTATACCGGTACAAGGTGCCGTATGAAGGAGTTCCTGACTTTCATTCTGTCTCCCTTTCTCCTACCCCGCGCACTACTCTTGTCCTTCAAGTTGACACTCC